TGGGAAGTTGCAGGACTTTTGGCAAATCAAGTCACCTCTAGAGGTTTCTAATTGGAATAAAGAAAGGGCTGGGCCAACCTTTCAGATCCTTTGAGTCCAGTCATTTTGGCTGTATGACAGAACCATTTGTAGGTGAGGGAGTCTGAGTCCCAGGTAAAGGGAGCAAGACTGTGAAGTCTTTGAAGATCTGGGGAATTCCTGGGCATGGAAAAGGGAAGGAGAAAGTGTGAGAAAGGCCTTGGGCGGAGGGTGGGGGCAGAGGAGGAAGGAGTCCCACAGGCCATTTTTGGCAAGTAGAGCCATCCAATATTCTAGGGTGTGTGTGCCTGTGTCTGTGTGTATATGTATGTATTTGTAGAGGCACGGTCTCATACTGTTATCTAGGCTGGTCTAAAACTCTTGGCTTCAACAGATCCTCCCTCCTCAGCCTCCCAAACTACTGGGATTACAGGTGGATGTCACTGAGCCCAGCCCTGCATGATCCTTAATACTAAGAAGTAGCAGCTAAGAATTATGAGGTGCCAGGCATTTTGCAGGCACTTTATAGTTCCCTTGTTTTCTCACCACAAAAGTCAGAGGTCTGTTCTACTATTCTCATTCTAAAGGCAACACGGAGGCTTAGGGAGGTCACAGAACTTACGGGAAGTGACGAGGCATCTTTATACAGGCCAGTCTTCCTCTTTTTCTCAAAGGGCGGGGTAGAGGGAGGGAACAGTCTCCCCTGTTATCTCTCCTTCTGTGGACGATCAAAGCACAGGTCCTTATGGTAGTGAGGGCTTGTTGAGCATCAACTGGGACACTGAGATGTAGTAAATCACAAGCACACGGGTTCACAAGGCTACAGAAGGTTATAAATGATCTTGGATGTCCCGTCGTCCTCTGCTTCCATCTTGGAAGGGCTGTCCTCTCGGCTCTCGTTCCCAGAGCGCCTGTTCCCCGCCCCCCCCACCACTTAGGATGAGAGGTGGGCTCTGAAACTGCAGTCCGGGAGGAACAAAGAGCGTCCTTTCCTCCCCAGGGAGAGATGCAATTTGCATCTCAGAGGAGCTCAGATGGGTGACGCCCAGTTAGGACATTGATCCTGGCAGTAAAGATCTGCCCTGGGAATTCCCTGTGACCTGGCGGGGTTTGCTGCTGGGAAGCAAGGAATCTTGGACGTGTCCTTTCAATTACTGCAGTTCTCCTGGCTCACCGAAATTGCACAGGTGAGAGTAGGTGCATTTTCCTGGGGAGCGTGTTTATAGCCTTCCTCAGATTCTCAGAGGGGTTTACAACAGCCCAAAGGTTAAAAACTGCGACAGGTGAGTGCGATAATGGAGGAACCCCGTGCAGATCCTGTGGGTGGGGGGGAGAGGAGTGGCTTCACAAATGGGAGGTGGGAGGAGGGAAGATGGGCAGGTGAGATTCACAGAGGCAGGACTTTTGGGGGAGGGGTCTGGGGGTAACATTTTTGTGATCCTACTGTGTGCCAAGGCATTGTTCTAAACTACAGTATATGAGAATTCCGTCATTTGTCACAATCCCGAGAAGTAAATTAATTATTCTGGCTTTGCACATTCATTCATTTAGCAAAAGTTTATCGAGAGCTTACTAAGTGTCGGGTACTCTTCCCAGAGCTGGGGATATACCAGTAAACAGCGCATAATGCCTCTTTCTGTGGCTCTTATGTTTCCCTGGGGAGACAGATAATACACAAGATGAGAAAACCTGGTTTACAGAGAGTTAAGAGAAGAATCCTAGGCCCTCAGCTAGTAAGAGGCGAACCTTTAGCCCTAGACATTACAGCACTGGGAGCTGCTTTCTCAACTATTATATGACAAGGGGGGAAAAGGGAATGGTAATGAATTTAAATCACTAAAAATGAAAATTTTCTGTGCAACAAAAACATCAAAAATGAAAATGAGCCGGGCAAGGTGGCACATGCCTGTAATCCCAGCACTTTGAGAGGCTGAGGCGAGAGAATTGCCTGAGTTTAGGGGTTCAAGACCAGCCTGGACAACTTGGTGAGACCGTGTCTCTACGATAAATCAAAAAATTAGCCAGGCATGGTGGTGCGTGTCCCTGGTTCCAGCTATTTGGAGGGCTGAGGCGGAAGGATCACCTGAGCCCAGCAGGTCGAGGCTGCGATGGTGGTGAGTGTGCCACTGCACTCCAGCCTGGGTGACAGAGTGAGACTCCTACTCAATAAAAAAAAAAAAGAAAAGAAAATATTGGTATAGGAGCAGACTAAGACTTAATAACTTAAAAATGTTATTTATTTATTTTTTTAGTCTGGAGTGCAGTGGCACACTCACGGCCACCACAGCCTCCACACCACCACATCCGGCTAATTTTTCTTGGTTTATTGTAGAGATGAGGTCTCGCCAAGTTGCTTAGGCTGGTCTCGAACCCCTGGGCTCAGGCAATCTTCTCACCTCCACTTCCCAAAGTGCTGGGATTACAGGCGTGAGCCACCACATCCCACCCCTTAAAAATGTTTTTAGCCAGGCTTGGTGGCTCAGCCTGTAATCCCGCGCCTTTGAGAGGCTGAGGTGAGTGGATTGCCTGAGACTGCGGGTTCGAGACCCTCCTGGGCAACTTGGTGAGACCTCATCTCTACAATAAATAAAAAATTAGCCGGGCATGGTAGGGCGCGCCTGTAGTTCCAGCTACTCGGAAGGCTGAGGCGGAAGGATCACCGGAGCCCAGCAGGTCGAGTCTGTGGTGGCCGCTCCCGGCCACTGCACTCCAGTCTGGGCGACAGTATGAGACTCCAACTCAAAAAAAAAAAAAGGAGATGGACAAATTACAAAAATGATTCAGAAGAGGAGACATGAACGTCAGTAATGTTGAATGCTGCTTTCTGAATTATCATCACCTGCCTGTTTATAGCTTAGCACAGCAAGGAAGTGATACACACCAGGGTAGCCCCAAACTGGGGTCCTACCAACGTCGCCCAGGAAGATGATGCAAGTGAAGCCCAGAATTGAGGTTTGGTCAGAGAGGCCGGTTCTTGGCTTCTTGCAAGAAGGAATTCAGTCGCGAGGCATAGGTAGGAGATTCAAAGTAAGTAAAGACACGGAGACATGGGTAATAGCTACCCCCTCACAGAGTAGCCCACGTGCCTTGCTGGGGTTTTAGCTGGAAAATAAAGGCAAGTTTACTGAAACGACAGAGAACACGGATAGGAAGAACAGCAGCCACCCGTCGCTGGCGGCTTATTTTGATACCCGTCTCTTGATTATGGGCTAAGCAACGGGCGGATGATTCATGGCTTTCCGGGAAAGGGGACTGGGGAGGTCCCCGAACGGAAGGCTCCGTCCCCTTCTTAAACCCTCTAAAATAACTTCCAGGAGTTGCCACGGTAACCGTAAACTGTCCTGGCGCTGGCGGGCGTGTCCTTTAGCCTGCTGATATATTAAGTGCACAATAGGCAAGAAGGACAAGCAGAGGTGGCTTGGGAGGCCACTTTGGCCTGGGCTGGCTTTGGCTGGCCTTCGGACGCCTCTCTTCTCGTGAGTGTGTCGGGCTCGCGGTCTTCATCTTGGAATCTAGTCCTGCCGGATGCCCGTCTCCGGACTTGAGTCCTTGTGGCCTGTGGGAGGGGGAAGGGCAAGGTCTGGACAGTTACTGAGGATGTGAAGACTGGCTTGTAAGGGTCTTTGAGTCGGGGCAGCGGCTTTCTTTAGGGCTGGGTAGGGTCATGCTATAATAGTTGGGGATTAATGGACCCAGCAAGGCAAGATTTTGAGGGGAGGCGCCTAGGAGCTAATAGGCAAGTGCGCTTTTTAACTTTATTTTATTAATTGATTGCTTTTGAGTTGGAGTCTCACTCTGTCGCCCAGGCTGGAGCGCAGTGGCCCGGTCCCGGCCACCGCAGCCTCGACGGCCTGGGCTCCGGTGATCCTTCCGCCTCTGCCTTCCAAGTAGGGAGAAGTACACGCGCACGCTACCGGTGGCTCAAGCCTGTAATCTCAGCACTTTGGGAGGCCGAGGCGAAAGGGTGGCCTGAGCCCAGGGATTTGAGAACAGCCTGGGCAACTTGGCAGGACCTCCTCTCCACAAAAAATCAAAAAATTAGTCAGGCCCGTGGTGGCGCGCACCTGTAGTTCCAGCTACTTGGAAGGCTAATGTGGAAGGATTGCCCGAGTCCCCCACGTCGAGGCTGCGGTGGCCGGGAGCGTGCTACTGCACTCTAGGCTGGGCAACATGGCGAGACTCTTTGACTCAAAACAAACAAACAAAAAAACTTGCTCATGGCAGGTCTTTCTGCCATGAATCTTCCTTCTTCTCTTTTTCCTGCTTTGTTTGAGAACTTTACTGACCGCTCTAAAATTCATTTTAGAAACAAGCCAAAGAATCCGCAGGTTTTATGGTGCACCCCACCTGGCATCAGTTTCCTTCTGCCACTTTTTCACCACCCCTCATCCCAGCCAGGAAATAACAACTGATTTGCTTTCTGTCACTGCAGATTAGTTTGCAGTTTTTGTTTATCCATACAAATGGAATCCTATAATATGCACTGTTTTTGCCTGGCCTTTTTTTTTTTTTTTGAGTCAGAGTCTTTGTCACCCAGGCTGAAGTGCAGTGGCACGCTCACGGCCACTGCAGCCTTGACCTGCTGGGCAGGTGAGCCTTCCGCCTCAGCCTTCCAAGTAGCTGGAACCATAGGCACGCACCACTACTCCTGGCTAATTTTTTTTATTTACTGTAGAGACGCGGTCTCATCTTGTTGCTCAGGCTGGTCTGGAACTCCTGGGCTCAGGCAATCCTCTTGCTGCCACCTCCAAAAGTGCTTGCCTGGCTTTTTTTTTTTTTTTTTTTTTTTTTT